GCCCAAGACGATGTTCAGTATGCAAAATTCCAGGACATGATAAACGAAGGTGTCCAGGACCGATTGGTCCACAAAATCCGGGTGATGATGTGCCGGAATCAGCTAATGCGACATAATTTTCGATTATCATTCGTCAAGCTAGTTGTAACTCTTACGTTGCATTTAATTGTGTATTGTTGATTGAACGAATTGGGATTATCTCAAGTGAAGAGGAATCATCATAATAACAATTTGATCAACACTCAACGAAATACGATAGATTAAATTAAAGGGAATAGTTCCAAGTACATAGAGATAAAAATCAACTCAAAATACATCTCAAGGAAGTCCACGAGCTTCACCGGAACCCACAGTTTTCTTGCTCCTTGTACGTTTGCCGACGGGAGTAACAATAGGTGGTGGGGGTGGCAAGTTTCGAACGGCCGAGGTAGTGTGGCGCTCGTCGGTGCTATGTCGGCGGGGAAGCGGCACTTCCGGGGTCGAGCGGGCGAGGTCGGCGCTCATACGGTGAGGAGTAGGAGGCCACTGCTGATGAGGTCGATTCCATGGGGCGAACTCGTGTTGGCCTGTCGTGGAGGAGCCATCATGCCAAGTCCCAGATGATGTTTGGCGGGGAGATTGTGGGTAGATAGGGCGGGAATCGTAGTATGTTTGGCGGGGATCGTTGTATGAGATCGGGGTGGGAGAATATGTGGCTTGGTGGAAACTCTGAGAGGATTGATGGTAGGTCGAGCGGGGATCGTAGTATGAGCTTTGGTGGTGATCGTTGTGGAAGAAGGGGCGGAAATCTTGGGATGAAGTCGGGCCGGCATCTTGGGAAATAGTCGGGCGGGGAGATGGGGCGGAGGACGGGCGGGGAGCTTGGGTGGAACCCGTGCCGGCACCTTGGGTGGAACTCGGTCCGGCACCTTGGGTCACAACCAATGGGGGCGGCACTCTCCACCCCCCATATGGCGTTACCTCGGGCACGTTGGGCCTTTCCCGACCCCTCTTGCTCTTCTTTCTCTCGTATGGTGGTGGGGGTGCGGGGACATCAAGTTGTACCGGAGGTGGTGGGGGTGCGGGCGCGGGCGGATATCTACGATGATCCCGGCCCTGAGCTCTGATACAGCCAAGTAGACTGTTTGCAATCCTCCTGATGAAGCCCACATCTTCATTGCCCAACTCAGTTCTTCCGGTAGTCATATCTTTAATCCGCTCGACCCCATCAGCCTAAATCACAAAAAAAAAAAAGGTTAGAAAGAGATTTAGGAACCAAGTAATAAATCATAGTATGTTTAGACTGGTTATACTTACTAATGCACCATCGGCCGCACCCTCCAGAGTTGTGTAACGAACCGATGTTTGCTGATAACGATCCAAGTATGGGTCATGATACCCCATTCGGCCCACTTGATTTGGAGTGACAATATCCTGTAGTTGTCGGTTCTCCCAAATCGCGATGAATTCCTTCAACTTCGTGGGCCAATCGCGAGTACCTTGCCGACCATCTCGGCCATGGAAGGCCCTTTGACTTTCGGGGACCTCCAACGGAATGCACTGCTCCCGACCAAACTGACGGAGGCATCGATCCGACAAGTGCCACTTCACGGTCCCAAAACAAATTAGAGGAACCCTCGTGCACCATTGCCCGATATGACCGGGGAATTGCTGGAGATGCCATTGAACGATGTTCTCCGGGTATGGATCGAAGACGATCTACAAGAAAGAAATGAGTAACGTAAGATTAATTAATTAGAAAAATACATGTAGTCCCATGAAAAAAAAATATATAAATGGATCGCAGTATAGAAGTTACCTCTCCTTCCCAAAGTCGCTCAAACCTCCTCCGATACTCGTCCAACTTGTGTTGGACAAGGTTGTCGCATGTGGTGTGTCCAAGCCACCTTATTAATAAGACAAGAATGAAACTACAATAAGATAAAACACAAGGGAAAATGTGTTATGACTACATGATGGGGTATGAGAAGTTTACCTTGCTCCATAAGCTTCACCTCTTAGGGGATGATCGATTGGCCAATCCCTTTCTGGACGTTGGGCCGGTGCAAGCCATGGCATATGCTCCCAAGCCCAAAATTGGACGATGAACATTGCGCCGCTGACCTCCCTCACGGCTTTTAGAGACGCATTGCACAAGTTGTGGTAGATCATAGCTAGGCAAGCGGATGCCCAACTATACTCCCCCATCTCCTCCCAACTACTGAAGATGATCCTAAGCCATCCACAACTAAGGAGATTGCTTGATTTCTTGGAGAAGAACACTCCTCCGATCATGCCTATGAGATAGACACGAGCACATCTCTCCTTCTCATCCTCTGGACTTTCCTCGGTAAGCGGATGACTCTCGTAATGATCTCTAAAATACTTCGTCAACCATGTAATTGAGACTTGGTGTTTCCTCATTGGTGGCATGCGATCGGTCGCATCAACGCAACCCTTCACCGGTACTTTCACTCCCAAATGACTGTGGATGAAATGCTGCCAACCGGGCATACCGTCACAATCCTCGGGGGGATGATCACTCACGCACACCGGTTTGCCATCGATGGGCATATGGGTTAGGATGGTGACATCCTTTAGCGTGATGGTGGCCTCTCCTTCTCTAAAGTTGAAACAATGGGTCTCCTTTCTCCATCTCTCGGCTAAGGCGGTGATGAGTTGGCGATCGATTTGGATGCCGTTAAAATGCCTAATCGAGTCTAACCGTGCCCTTTTGAGAAATGGCAAGATAGCTGGGTGGAATGGAAGCACATTGGTGGTACCCCTGTAGCGGATTATTGTTTGTGCCTCCTAGCAAAAATGTACACGTTAATTATTATATATTAGTAAGGGTTTTTTTTCGTATAACTAAATTAATTAAATTAAATTATGCGACATAAAGCAGAATTTTATTATCATAAAAAGACATTTCATATTCTCATAAAACAAACATCCTAAATTAATTAACATAATAACATTGTCAATGAATAATAATTTAAAGAGGTACATACATATTATCGTAAAACAAACATACTAAATTAATTAACATAAATAACATTGTTAATGAACAATAATTTAAAGAGGTACATACATAGTATCGTAAAACAAACATACTAAATTAATTAACATAAATAACATTGTTAATGAATAATAATTTAATTAGAAACATACATATTCAAATGTTTGGTAACTAATTTAATCGTATTAGTTGTTTTAAACAATTTAATCGAATACAAAGCAACACTCGTTAGACTCTTAGAAGAGGTATACATCTTCTTAGAAACGCAGTCTTTTTGACAGAAAAAGGGGGGATCCGAGGATCTCTTAATACCCGATTTTCCCAGGTAATGGGAGGATATGATAATCGCTTAAAACCTCATTTCCTTAGACGTGCATCTCTTTATAAAGAGTCGAAGTAAGTGGCGCTATGTATTCGATTAAATTATTGAAAACCACAAACACGATTAAAAAATAAACATAAATTTATTTTATATTACACTAGGCACATTAACAAAATAAAAGAAGGACAAATGGTGAAGAATTGTGTGTACCGGGTGATCGTTCCAAACATCCCTTGACCGATGGTTGGGTTGGTCGTACAAGTCGATTGGATCCACCGGTCCTTGCTCGAGATAATACCGTTGGTTGTATATATCGACGTCCTCCCCAACCTACGAGAAAATAACAACGAGGTTATTACATAGATTAATTAAAAAACTTATAAAAACAACAAAAATTAAACCAGAATAATGAGTACATACCGCTTGAAATTCATCAACATAAACTCCTTCTCCTTGCCACCAATCGGCCATTTTTTCGGCGTAATTCGGACAGAGCTTCGGCTCGGCTCGGCGGGTTTTTGAGAAAAAAACCTAAGAAATGTTTTCTGATGGCAGATCGGACTTAGCCGCAACCAACATAATTTTATTTCCTAGACTTTTGGGAGGGGAGGGTTTAGAGAGATTATATCTAGAGAGAGAAGGAAGAATGGGTTGTGGAGTGAAGAAATGAGAGGGGGAAGGGGGGTATTTATACCCAACAGACCGCACCCTTCAGGGGCAGTACGGTAATTTTACCACCACCAAAAACGCATCTCTCCGATGCGATCTCCGCGTAAAAACGCATCTCCCCGATGCGATCTCCGCGACCCGAGGCGTTGAACGCTCTGGAAACTGACGCTCCATTTTTCAAGGCCAAAAAGCGCACCTCGCCTGTGCGTTCTCCGATCCACCGCGCGGATTGCTGACGTGGCTGTGCTCCTGCCCGTTTGATCGCACCTTAATCGTGCGGACTGGAAGGCCGCTGGCCACCAAACGTTGAACGCATCTTGGGGATGCATTTCATATTTTGACTTCGCACAAATCGCATCTTAGGGGTGCGTTTTATGTGGGAAACGCATTCTTAGGCTGCGTTTTATTTATAAAACGCACCTCTAAGGTGCGTTCCATAAAAATAGGTGCTACTTTTGTAAATATTTTTGGAAGGGTGCTAGTATTGTAATTTTTTTTTTAAAGGTGCTATTATTGGAAAAATCTCGAGTTTCCCCTAATTTGATCGACAAAGGGATTTTGATAGGAGTTAAAAAAAATACCAAAATTCATTAAAAGTGAAAAAAATAAAAATTATCGATAAAAAAGAAGACATATGGGCTTGCAAAACCCAAACCCAAACCCTACTCATAGCCGCTGCGACAGCGCGGCTTAACTCCCCTAGTTATAGATGATAGATAAAAGGGTGCGTGGTACAGTGATAAGGGCGATAATTGGCTGCTGTCTGGGTTGCAGCCCATAGCTGCTACCCATTGACGTGGCAGTATATTCTTGGCCCATGAAATGTTAATTAATTATTATACTTATTTGGAACAAAACGGGACGGAAACGGCTTCTTTCTTGGACCGCAATGGGTAGCAGCTATGGGCTGCAAGACCAATAATATGCTGACAACATCCAACAGAGACACCCGCTAAATTCGAAACATAATCAAGACCAACAACCATCCAAACAAACAAAGATATTGACTGATTAAATTGGAAGCCACACGCCGAGAACAAGTTCCTCGCCAGAACTCCCCTGCTTCCCATGAACCGCATCGTCACGGACCTCCCACCGCTCACTGAACCTGTACGGGTTCCCTCCATCGTACGCGTCGAAATGAAGGCCATAGCCTTCCGATTCGAGGTCGCACCAGAACAGCGTCCCAAACGTTTCCCCGAAGCTCCAGCCGAAGCCTTCATCGAAGGCGAGAGTGTGGTTGCCAAGATCGTCCTTTCTGGACGCGCAATGCGCTCTCAGCACCCCACTGCTTAGCTTGTTGGTGATGTGAGTCGTGGTTGCGCTCGAAGGTGGTGCCATGATTATGACGATCATGATGATGATGGTGGTGGCCAAACCCACCGCAGCAACCAGTTTCCTGTGGACTACTCCGAGCTGATCCATGGATATTATGTGTGATAAATGGTTAAGTGTAAGTCCATCTTTAGGGCGGGTAGTGTAGGGTTTATTTATAATCGAAACATAAGGAGGAAAGGTGGGATGAAGAAGATGATGATGGTGTGAACTGTTAATTAGATCCTGGAGTATATTCTTCATTTCCGAACAGGTTTTTTTTTTTCCTAGGGATTTGTCGCCCCAAACATCCCTTTTAGCCTCCTCCACCTGAAAATTTACACAAGATCATTTAAAAAAACAATACACCAAACCAAACCGAACATTCTCCTAACTCTTCAACGAGACCCAAGTATCGGCCCTAATTTTGCAAATCTCGTCGTCTCCTTCTTGATTCATGACTCACCGTCCACAACATAGTAGAGACAATTGTGTTTTCAAATGACATTATGTTAACAATTATTACTTTATGGTGCAAGTTTTTTGCTTATGAATAATTATGGTGCAAGTTAGACGGCACTAACTTTGTTTCTTCTGAATTACTTGGATTTACGATATCAAAACTATACATTCATGTTGGAGTACATGCTTTTAAGGTTAAAAAAAAATCTCAATTATTGGTTCGATTTTTCGTATGACTTACTAAATAAAATGTTCATTTTACGCTCAATTTGGTATGCATGGTTCATACTGTACCGGACCCGAACCGCAGACGTGGTAGGTATGGCTTGGACCGTGTAATATTTGTTCTGTTCCTTGGTCTATGATCCAGTTTCTCAGTATAGATCATAGATCATATGTATGATCCGCTCTGGACCATACCATACTGTTTTCCTTTCCTACTCCAGTGATTCAGTAGTTTGAAGTTTTTTTTTTTTTTATCTTGCTTCAAAACAAACAGCTTAGAGTTAGAGGTTTCCACACAAGTGACTAGAGATTCTATGATTGAGATATCTAGTGTCTGAATAATAGTAAATATTTTTTGTCAAGGTATTCCAAAATGGAAAACATCAAAATATGAGTATATATCAAGGTTGTCAAACCGGTTTATGGCAGTGTGCCGGTTTAGCAAGTGGAATGGTTCAACTGGTGGCACATACCGGTTTGTGCCGGTTCATGCCGGTCAATATTACAAACAAAATTATAAATACTCATATTTAAACATGACATTTAACGTCAATACCTAAATATTTATACTTGAATCCAACAAATAACATCAATATTTAACTTTTATACTCATAAAATAAATAATAAAATAATTTTTATCAATTAAATTCACTAAAATAAGGTAATTTTACTTAGAAATTCGTATATCGATCATGTCGGTCATACCGATGGTGTCATGCCGGTTTTATGATCGGTATCGGTTGAACCAGGTACAACCGGTGGCACGCCGGCCGACGTGACAACCATGGTATATATATAATCTTTACATGTCAAATCACAAAATAGAGTATAACGTCTTAAATTCAAATTAAAATAAATTTGGACAAAATAAAAACAAAGAGTGGTTTAATTTTCCTCTTCCAAATTACCTCACATGTCCTTAACCATGAGATATTCCCCCCCCCCCCCCCCCCCGGTAATTAACCATCAGATATTTCCCATTGAGTTATCTTTCCATCCAATGAATAAAATTAACTTCTTCAACAGCCAAATGTCCCTATTTAACTTGATCATGACTCGAGAAACTATTATTTGAGCACTTTTATTATACTCTAAAGTATTGGGGTTTTGAAATTCAAATTAATTACGTATAATATAAAATTAAAAGTATGAATTCATATTGTACCATAAATAAATTTGTACATTTATATTATGATAAATGTTTAGTTTGTATGATAACATTGTAACCATTTTGGTGGGTACATTCTTCATTTCCGAATAGGGTTTGTATTATTTAGTTTTCTAGGGATTTATCGCCCTAAACATCCATTTCAGCCTCCTCCAATAAATTGAATTTTTTTCTTTTCCTTAAAAACAAACAACCTGTAGATTTATTATTGCGATGGGTTGAAATCCAAGTGAGGCCCGTTGGTGTTCCCGGAGGTACAGGGCTGCTGGGGCGAAGCCATGTCGGCGTCGAATTGATTGCAGATGGCCCCCAGATTTAGTAGGCCTCGTTATCACAAAGTGGCACGTGTAGCTGAGGTTCCTGATTACAATTTTTTTTTTATTGAGATGGGTTGTAGCGAATGCTAGTAAATTGGACTACTTTGTGTCAGTTTGTTGGCCATATTAATTTGTCTTGATGATTTTATACTGCTGAATTTTGAATTCTTGAGACAGTTTGCTTTCATTACACTCTTTCAACATTCAAAAATTATTTCTCTTGTCACTCTGTGGGGTGGCTTGGGGAAAAGGGTCTCAGTAATGGATTTATTGAAGTTGTAGATTTTGAGAAAGTTAAGTTTATTGTTATTTTTTCTTTTGTGAATTTTAGGTTTAGAGATTTCAAAATCTCTAAAACCTACATATATCAAATATTTTATAATCAAGAAAATAATGAATATTTTTTGAAAATTTACATTTTGGTATCCAAACTTCTAAAAAATTTATAATAATCAAATGTTTAGATGTCACTTGAATTTCCACGGGATTTCTTTCTTTGTGATGCTATAGTGTGATTAGAAAGATGAATCTATAGAGTACGTAGTTGCTTGTGAGACTTGTGTATCCCATGAGCACAATACCCTGTATCTAGAGGTGTGCAACAATGCGGCTCGGTTCGGATCAGACCAAACTTGTGAGAAGCGCGGTTTATTAGTGAAATATATTTTAGAACTAAGAACTGAACAACCACTGCATTCGATCTATTTGATCCGGTTTGGTCCGGTCCAATTATCAATTACGTCCATGTTTTCTTTAGTAACTATGAAATGCATATAACCAAGAATCGGACCTTATTATACTCGATTCGATACGATCCGATCCAAATACCGATTTGGTAGTCATGTACGGACCGGACCATTGCACACCTCTAACCGATGCTAGCTTGACAGACTGGTACTTGTATTAATATGTATTTCCTTCTGGTAATTTCCACTTCAGCATTAAATTAAACTATGATCATTAGCCACGGGTAAGTTATATATCATTGGCTGTGTTATAGACTAATAGTATATGGCTTAAACTCAGCTTCTTTTCATGTATACCAGTTGAAAATTATTTTAAAACCTATGGATTGTAAGGCTGGCTATTTGGTACGGGCTTTTTTATTTTACCCGAAATCGGATCGTATAACTCGAACCGAGACCGGACCGAGATCGAATAGCAAACAATCCAATCCAATTTTCGGGTCTAGATTTGAGGTAAAAAAAACCGTTTGGGACCGGGCCGAAAACCGGATAAAGACCGGATAAGAGAGCCCAACACCCAAAATTTAATCTCCTCACCCTTTTAGGCCTTAGGCCACCCAAATCCCCCCCTCAGGCCACTCAAATCCCACAAGTTCAAGACCAGACCGTATCCAATCCAATTTTTGGTCCTTATATTCACGAGAAGACCGGACCAGGACCGGATCAATTTGAGTCAATTTAACCAGACCGGACCGTATAGCTACCCTCTAATGGATGGAGCCTTTTCCATCGCATTTATCCGTTGTGCACAAATTCTATAATTTATAAGCATATGGCGGATCCCGTCCGAAATATAAACGAGGAGGGCTAAAAAAATTAAATTCTTACCAGAGATTTGAATCATGGTCATTTGGGGGGCTTGCATAACATGCCTTACCAACTAGTTTTTTTATAGAATTTATTACACATTGTACATGTAAATTTACCGATATTGAAAAGTTGAGGGGACTATATCATCCATCGAACTTAACGTGACTCCGCCACTAATTATAGGAGCAAAGGGAACAAAATATTTTGCGTTGATCAGACAACACCTGAATTTTAATTGGGAAGAGGGCTACAGTAATTAAAAACAACAACAACTACCAGACTAGCATGAATTTGTCAACTACGTACGCAAAGTTTTCGTAAGAAAAGTGACTTTTATTTGTTAATAGACGGACGTCTTAAGGCCAACAACCATCCAAACACAAACAACGACGACTGATTACAAAGTTGTATTACAAGGTGCACAATTCATTGTTGAACTGGAGTCCAGACACCGAGAGTGAGTTCGTCGCCGGTATTCACCTCCTTCCCATGAACACAATCATCACGGACCTCCCACTGCTCGCTGAACTTGTTCTCGTGCGCTCCATCGTACGCGTCGAAATGAAGACGGTAGCCTTCCGCCTCGAGGTAGCACCAGAAGAGCGTCCCAAACGATTCCGAGAAGCTCCAGCCGAAGCCCTCATCGACGGCGAGAGTGCGGTTGCCAAGATCGTCCCCACTGGATCCGCAGTGCGCGTTCAGCACCCCACTGCTTAGCTTGTTGGTGATGTGAGTCGTGGTTTTGCAGGTCGAGGGTACTGGTGCCATGATTACTATTATGATGAAGAGGATGGCCGCCAAACCCACCGCGGAAAGCAATTTCCTGTGAACTACTCGAAGCTGATCCATGGATATGAATATTAGATCACTGCTGATACGTGTGATTAATGTAGGGTTTATTTATAATCGGAAAATAAGGTGGGATGATGGTGTTATAACTACGTCTCTTTTGTGTTCTTTGGTTTGGGCCCTTTTTGAATATTTGTTGTAGCAGTTTGGCCCATCTTGCTTTGGGTATATTCTTCATTTCCGAACAGGGGTGTATTCATGGGCGGACCTAGTAAGGGCCAGGGTGTGTCGTCCGACACATCCTCGCTCAGAAATTTTATGAATGATTTATATTTTTTTGGTAAATTTTTTTTTAATTCGGGGCTTCCGACACACCTCAAATGATTCCACAACTCATCTTACTAGAAGTGTTTCTTTACTTTGCTTATTGCATTAAATGCTCTTTCAAACCTTGAATGACAACCGATAGCAACAAATACTACTAAGTTTTGAGTTTTTGTTTATATTAAACTCACTTGCAGAATATATGAATTAAATCTTAAATATAAATCACAAACATTAATTTCATAAAATTATCTACAATAATATAGAGATGTTGTATCCAATCAACAATCTCATAATATAATTACTCCACATTTTTTGGGCCAAGGTGGTGCAAATGACCCACCTTGGCCACATGTGGCTCCGCCACTGACCACAACCCAAAAATTAAAAAAATATACATAACCTCATCCTTTGAAACTTTCCGTTTCCACCCCTTGACCCTTCTTTTATTGAAAATAAAAAATTCATACTTACCTCTTTTTAGTTTCTAATTACCGAGACCCACTGCCACATCCCCTTTTCTTTTATCCTTTAGTTTACTTGCTCTTGAAGTTGGTGTTGACTTTACTTGTTGCAATTGCAAGGTGCGAAAGAGCATTTTCAGCTATGAAGATAATCAATAATGAACTTCGAAATCGGTTTAGTGACCAATTTATGAATGATTGTTTAGTTGTGTATATTGAAAAGGATTTGATTCGCAACATAAATGATGAATGTATTTTACAGACATTTCAGAACATTAAAAGTCATCGTGGTTATTTGTAAACATGACATTATGAACTTTATGAATTAATTTCTATTTAATTTTAATTAATTTTTTTAATTATTATCTTATTTCATCGGCGACACACCTCTTTGACAATTCTGGGTCCGCCACTGGGTGTATTTCATGTTTGTTGGGTTTTCTAGGGATTTATCGCCCCAAACATCCTTTTTAGCCTCCTCCCCCGTTGGAAAAACATACCATACCATTTTAAAAAAAATAGTATATCGACAAATAGGATAGCATAGTTTGATTCGGAACGTAAATAGTTAAGAATGATCTGATCTAATTCATAGTGAAAAGGCGAACTTATTCACACATTAACTCATTAAGATCAAACAAAAGGATACTTTTGATTAGAGGAACTTGTATTGTAACATATAATACTTTTTCGTAGCTTAGTAAAATTCAAAATTCGAATTAAAATAAATGTGGTATTGTCTCGTTAAATATAAGTCTCGACGAAAAAGAAACAAAGAGTGACTTGATTTTCCTCTTCCAAAATTACCTCACATGTGATTGACCTTCCCTTTCCATCCCATGAATTAAATTAACTTTGTAAGGGGGGACAAAACCCACCAATTAACATGAACCTAACTTTAGAAGCTATTATTTGAGCTATTCTATTATGTTCTAAAGTATTGGTATTTTGAGGTCTAAATAGAATTTGGATCATAACATTATTTTTCTCTATCTCTGAGTAATGTCCTAAGGGAAGGTGACTGGATTCACGGATCAAACGGTATCCTCAAGCACATGGGGCTATGAAACGCGTGTCTAGTTCTCATTGGAAATGAATAAGTAGTTTGACCGACGATGATACCTTATTGGCTCAAAATCTATAACTGTATAAATAATATCAAGAGAACAAGCACACATAAAAAAGCAAGCGTCTAATCGGATCAATAAAGAGATAGAAATTAAATATACAAATTCAGTTTGTACCATTATATTATTATACAAGTTCATTTGTACCATAATGTTCCTTATATGTGAACATCTTGGTATATTCTTCATTTCCAAATAGGCTTTGTATTATTGAGTTTTTTGGGGATTTATCGCCCTAAACATCTATTTTAGCCTCCTCCAATAGGTTCTGTATATTCTTCATTTCCAAATAGGTTTGTATTATTGAGTTTTCAATGGATTTATCGCCACAAACATCCATTTTAGCCTTTAATAGGTTTTGTATATTCTACATTTCCACATAGGTTTTGTATATTATTGAGTTTTCTAGGTTTTGTATTATTGTATATTCTAGGGATTTATCGCCCCAAACATCCATTTTGGCCTCCTCCAATAAATTGAAGTTTTTATCATTTCCTTCTAAACAATCGACTTGGAGATTTATTATTGAGATGTACTAATAAATTGGACTACTTGGTATCAGTTTGTTGGCCATATGAATTTGCTTGATGATTTATAATTTTATACTGCTGAATTTTGAATACTTAAAACAATTTGCTTTCATTCAACTCTTTCAACAATATAAAATTATTTCTCTTTTCTCTCTACGTTTATTTGACCTTGATTGAGATTATTGGCCGATGTTCCGAATCAAAGTACCCAAACTGTAAGTTTTTTAGTCTTTTTTTTTGTTAAAGAAGTTTATGAGTCTTGTAAGTCTTTCACCTAAGATTTTAATGAATGCATGTTTGTAAGTGGAGATATTGAACTCTTGATGGAGGAATGTTGAGTGCCTAAGAAATGAAGTCTAAGTTTTCAACCAAAACACAAAACTCATATCTTAAGCGTCCGTTAATTATGGTTATGAATGCGTAGGATTTGAGCCTCGACTAGCGATTCTTGAGTGTTGGCTTACAACATTGGCAAAGGTTTTTCAGTCAAGCATTTGGTGAGGAATAAGGGTAAATTAGTATTTTTAACTCGCTTCTGAGAAATCTCATTTATTTTCAAATGTGTTATTTGCTATAAATTCTGGGTACAAATTTTCAGGCATTTTAAACGAGAGCTTTGAACACAAATTTCTCGTTATTAAAATTCCTCATCAAAACGATGACCCCAAAAATAAACAAGATTACTTGAACAATGAAATTGAGTTAAGTATATAACATATATTAGAAAATCAGATAGTTGTCGTGTCGAACTGTCGATACAGAGAGATTCATAGGAAAAGATTTACATAAAAATGTAAAAATTGAACCATGCTATAGATAACATTTGGTTTTACAACATTTGATCGCTGCATCAAACATATCATCGAGGCCATACTCGAATTCAAATCCAGCATCTAATAGTTTCCTTGATGAAATCTTAGGTACTTTAAGACCCTTAATATCCTTTAGAGACCTGCAACAGGAAAGAAAGAAAAGAAAGAAAAAAACAGACAGACAGAACATTAATCAATTACCACTTGGTAGAGAATGGTTAGTATAAATTGCTATCGACAAAGCTGAATTCTCCTCAATGTAAAATCTACTTACTTCATCGCCGGAACTGCCAAATCAGGATACTTCGCCGACAGTTTATCCCTCTGATCCATCGTGAGACGGCTCGAAGAACATATGTACCTCCCTTCCGCCGTCGGATTTTCCAAAAGGAACACATACGCTCTCGCAACATCATCAACGTGGACCATCGACACCTCCGTCATCATGACGTCGCCGCCACCGTCGTCCTTCTCCCCAAACACCATCGCAAGCGCCAGCCGGATGGAGGCAGGGAACTTGGCACAAATGAACGGCCCAACAACAATGGAAGGGATCAAGGTGACAAGATCCAGCCCATGCTCTCGAGCAAATTCAACCGCTTTCCTTTCCGTCAGCGTCTTGACCGTCATGAGCGTCCTCGAGAATTTGTTCTTCATAACTTTCCTCCCGTATTCCACGTCGGTCCAGAAGCTCTCGTCCATCGTCTCATCATCGTGACCATCTGTTTGGTAAATCGAGAAATACGGTGGAAAAACGATTATATCTTATTACTGAAATGACATACGGTTTATATACGCGTATATAGAAGACTAACACTAATACGGAAAACTATCTAACTTTTACGATGACGACTCTTGTAAGAAATGTAACAACTATACGTAAAACGTAAGTATAACATAATACTGCTCGTACTGCGCACATACTGTAAACGACGGCTGCTGTGCCGGATGTGTACACGACCCGCTTCACCGTCTGGGAGTGCAGCAGGCAGGCTTTCAGTATGCCTAGGGTTCCGCTTATCGATCTCTCGACGATGGCTTCTTCTGCGATGTTACTGTTGTTATGGTCTTTGTTGTTGTTGAGATCCAGGGCTGGGGTGGCGACGTGGATGACGGCGGAGCAGCCGGTGATGGCGGCGGAGAAGGTTTCCGGGTGGTCGAGATCGGCCTCGAACAGCTTCAGGTTCTCCGCCGCTCCGGGGAGGTCGGTGAGGAATGTGATGCCGTCGTCCCTCTTGTTGTTGTTGTTGTGTCGGATGGTGGCGTGAACATGGTAGCCGTGGTGGAGGAGCTTCATGATCAGCCATGAGCCTAGGAAACCTGTTCCGCCTGTGACACAGACGGCCGGACCCTTGCTTCCACGTCCTTCCATCGATCTCTCGGTTTTCCTAAGGCTGGCTAGCTTTGGGAAGATGGAAAAGAGTTATGTTATGGTTTTGTTTTTGTATTTTTGAGTGGAGGTGATATCGGCATATGGGGGAATTATGTTTCGCTTTCCGCCTTGTTTTCTCCGATTTTGTCTGTTAGGTCGCGTCTGGAATGCAACGTACAGCTGTTGCCGGCCATTGAGCTGGATGGATGGATATACGGGATCGTTTGAAAGTTGTGAATGTTAAATCGTTGGATTGTAATGAATCACCATAATATAAATGCATGTATTGATACAATGGATGCATTTTAACAATATATTGTTTGGTTGTTGAGATTCTACTTTATGCATTGATTTACATAAAGTTATTTTTATGGGAATATAAATGGAAAGAAAAAGTTGACACAAATCTAAAAGCAACAATCACAACTTTTAGTTGAGATTGTATAATGCGTCATTTTTTGTGATTGTTGGTGGGACCTACCTAAAACAATGCATGCATTGTTTTACACTTTGACACTTCGAAACATTGTATTGTGTACAATACATGTATTCAACAAACATAACTCTACCAATCACAACTTCCAAACCACACAAAATATGGAGACTTGGATGAAAAAGAAACATAAGACATGTTTTATGCTTTAGACATAATTAAGTGTTAAGTTAACCGTTTGTTTTTTTCTTTTTGTATTCAAACTTCGGACATACTATTGGAACAGTGTGCCTGAGATCGGCATGTTAGGATGACCTTGAATTTTTTTTTTTCCATGATATTTTCATATTCCTATTTAGCCGAGTTAATTCGCAATCTAGAAAGTCATTTTGATTATAGTCAACTTCCCAAGATAATTGTTGATTGTTTTTGTCAAAATAAACATGTTGTGTTATGATGCACAATTCATGTATCTTGTTTTCTCTCTTTCTTTATAATGATTAGCAAGCATAAAGTTTTGATAGATGCCAAACTTAGATTTTCCAAAACATCACTTCTATATACTAGGGGTCGGCAATGGGGTTGTGTGGGTTTTGGTTTCAAATTGACCCACTCGCTTATTAGTGAATTTGAATAATTATGACCCGCAATCCACCCACATATCTCTGTGGGTTGGGTTGAGTAGGTGGTGGTTGGGTCGTGGGTCAACCCGCAAAAGCAATTCTCCAACTAGCTATTAAGAAAGTTGAGTAACATTTATTTAATAAGTTCATAGCAAATTAGTAAGACCATGTCAATAATATGTGATTTTGATACAATTGATAATTTATAGTTTTCATTCGAATATTTAATTGATATTAACAATAATTTGCATACCAATATCCAATATCTAATAAATACTGCATGCACAACACAAAAACAATAATAGTAGTCAAAATTATTCTTTATTCTCCACCTTTTAAAGTATATGGTCAGACTGTAATGCAGTTCGAAAATATGATGTATATTCGATACTATAAGAAGTGATATTTTTCATGTAAAAATAGAATGCCGGTCATACGGGTGACTCGCAATCCACCCACCACCCACCCACATAATTGCGGGTGGAAAATTTATCAATCCGCAATCCACTCACATCAATCACCCATTGCATACGGATCGGATTATTTACGGATGGATCGGTATCAATCCGCAAATTAACCACCCACATGCCCACCCTACTATATACCAAGTTATGAAAGTTGTCCAAAAGCTTTCTTAACCCACAATTCATCACCATCAACAACAACCAGCCAAACAAGCCATTTTTAGTAAATCAACCAACCCGCTGATGAATTGGCCATTGGGGCAACGATCCACCAGCCTAACACCCTTTATGGCCCGGCCAAAGCTGGGCTGGGAAGTAAAAGGGCCGAAACGGGGATAGAGGTCATTGGGCTGTAAATGGCAGAAAATGAAAACCAAAGTAAGCCGCCCGTGCTCACAACTAGGCCAGAGAAGGAAGGAAGGAGCTATTGGGCCATTGGAGCTGATCCAACCGCACAAGATGAATCTTCTCACCTTAGGAGTCTGAACTGGGCCAGAGTGATGTCAATTTGAATTTGTAGGGTATTATTCAATTTGATCTATATTGGTACGGTAATAGTTAGTAAAATACGGTATGTTAAAGTTACGTATAACATATGTACGGATATTTTACTTCGTCTTAAAGTTAATGTTACGTTTAATAGTACGGTGATATTTATAATATATATAAAATTAATTATTTTAAAAGTAAATAAATGTATAAATAATAGTAAAGTTAACCATTTAATTCATTAAATACGGATATTAAACGTGTTATACGGGTTTTATATGGGTTTATTACGGGTTTTATACGTGTTTATTACGGAAGCCATCAAATGAACGGAACAAAATGAAACGGCTTGACAATAATACGGATACGAAAGTTTTAAACGGATAAAATATGTACGAGTACGTATACATGTATTAAACGAAGTATTTACTAACTGTGGGCGTAATACTCAACCTGCATCCCTGTAGACTGTAGTAGTGTGGGGGCCGGACATGAATGCATAGGTGCTACATCCAATCTATGTCGTCCCATCTCTTTCCGTTCTTGACCTGTCCTACCTCAATATTTCTTTTATTTTTATTTATTTTAACTCATATTTTCACTCAATGATACTTTATATATGTGCTAGATTTTATCTTTCAACTAATTGAATTCAACTATTCTACCTATTATCTCCATTTTTCATTTGTGAAATAATTTCCTTTATTTTTTTCTTCAAATAATATAATAGCAAATGGATCGACCTGCTGCGGCCGACCTCTACCTACGCGAGCATTACCCAACCTAACGAGGTACATGCCCCTAGCCATATTTTCTCATCATAACCACTAGCTACAATTTTCTGGTGCCGACCTCTGACAAATCAAACAAGGTGGGTGGAAACTGGAAAGAGGGGCATGCTCATGTCTCAGCTGCGTTCAAGAGGAGCATCATGTGGGTGGGAGCAGGAATTAGGGAATCATTCATTATCATTTATTCAGAGGCAGAGAAAAAATGAAAAAGAAGAGAGGACAAAGGAATGTGTTGAAGAAAGGACAATAATAACAACAATAAAGAGTTGTTATATTCTAATAAATGAAAAGACTGTGATACTGCTGACAGTATTGTGAGTTGTGACAGTAATGTAGAATACTCGATCGTCCTGACCAAAACCATGCCCCACCATTGATATAAGTGTGCTGCTAACCAGATTCTCTCGACTTTGTCTTCGACCGTTGGCGCTGCTCTGTTCTGTTCTTCACTAGAACTGGCTGGCACAGGAATCAACTGGGGTTTGCATGATATATAAGATCTCCTTCGATTAAACTGAAACCAGATTTCCGCCCTATGTAGGAAAAGGGGTCTTGATTTCACAGTGTAAGTTGTTCACTCGCCAAGCCAAATGAGAGAAGAAGAAAAAAGTGGTAGGCATTGTCGTCGGGGGACTCAAATCTCAATGTTATTTTATTTGATTCTTGTCGGGACAGTGTGGTTTTTTTTTTTTTTTGCTAATTATGGAGCATATATATATATATATGCGCGCCTCTTGTTTCTCCTCTAACAACCCTAGTTTTAAATATTCATAACTTTATTCCACCTCAATGATGCAAAGAAAAAATTGCTCACTAACATACCCTTTTATAGCCTTAAACTCAATCTTGTCCACACTCATCAAGAAAAGCCACAATATGCATCATTCATGTCTGCCGTTACCTTCCCTTTCCGCGTCACATTTACAAATGCTTCTACATTGGACTACCACGAAAAGCAGCAATGCCTGCCTAGTTGTAGCAGTTGCTAGCAAATCGCTTTCCCCTACCAGATCAGGCAATTACAGCACAATTCCCCCATTAAGCCCGGTTTTAGGGAATTCCTCCCTCCAAGAAAAGCTCCAATTCTTCTACATTAATAATACACAAGGGTCAAGTAACAAATATGTTCTTACATTCACCTGCTAAGAGTGGGAATGATGCCTCTCAAAGCATCCTGCTCGATCGGAACGGAAGATGCTCCGTGGCCTTGTCTCCACCTTTCCAAGCAGAAGAGGATGAATGTTTCAGCAAGCATGGAACTACAATCAATTCCTGTCTACCTCTCTAATCACCTCTCCTGCATTGCAAAAAGCAGAGCAATGGTGATCATAGATAATAATATGGGTGAACGATAATTGACAATTGGGAGCTAGCTCCTAAAAGGAGATACTATAAAAGCAGAGGACAAAAGGGAAAGGGAAAAAAAGATGCTTGGCAATTTGGGCAAAAGACAATGGAAGGGGGGCATCTTGACAACCATGCCCTGACTATGACTTTTCCTTTCTATGTGGGATTTTGATGCTCAAATTCAACAAAAAAAAAAAAAAGATGCCCTACCCATCCAGAAGAGGGAAGTAACTAGAGAACAGAGATGAGGATAATTGTGGGGAATGGAATAGAGCATGAATTCTGGAGCAAAACTAGCGCATCAGCTGTCACAAACAAAACCAGAGCGCCCATTTGGGTAGAAAGAAACCCAATTGAGGAGGATGGAAATAGCAAGTAATATACAAAAGATATGTATATATAACTAATGGATACATTCCAAACTTCATGTCCCAAAAATAATTAGAGCAGGGCACCATACATGACCACATAAGCATTTCTGGAAGAGATAGTTCGACCTGACTATTACTGTTGTGCATTCTTTCCAATTCCTTACTACACAATACACATTCGGACTCGCATATTAATTGGACCCATTGGAGAGCACAGAAAGCTGAAATTGTCACATGAAAACCAGGCACTGAGAGTAGATGCATACACCCACCATACTTTTTAAAAAGCCAGCTAAAAGAAATTTCAAAACTCTCACAACTATTTTTCCTGGTGAGGTAAGAACCAGAGCACACTAACTGCACATGCAAAGCAGGAACGCCTGGTTCTCGTGCGAAAACTTAAGTGTATGCACCACTGCTTCCTCTAGATCTATGTGTACTCTCTAACAAGTAACAAGCCTATGTCTGGCTGTTTAGAGAGA